ATAGATAGGTATGACTAGTAGATTTATTCATATCTTCACTGTAGAAAGCATTCATTCTTAGTTGTCTTCCCCCCCCCCCCCCTTTTTTTTTTTTTTTTCTGAACATTGGAGCTATGAGAGTTAAGGATTTTTTTTTCCTTATGACTCATGGAAACTAAGATAAGTGTCTTGATATTGATTCAAACTTCAAAATTCTTCACACCCACAGTTTATAAATCTTCATCTTTTATTTTCTGTTCAGCAGATACAAACCAAAGATAGCAACTGATCAATTATGTATGACTCAGCAGGTTGGTGCCGTTGTCCTTGAATTTGGTCATTGTTTTAATCTAGCGGTATTAATTTCTTTAACTTGCCCTTGATGTTCTGCTTCTCCCAACCCATTGCCTTATCTCCTACATTCTGTGCCCATCTTTCTAGCCAGGCAGATTTTTCATGTCCCAGCCAAACCTTTTTTCCTGTTAATCTGCCATTTAGATGAAGAATAATCAGAAATTAGTCTTTCTTCTCTTTTTAGACTTTGGCTAATTGCAGTACTCAAGTCTACTACATTTGCTCCCATAGCGGGATCATAGCTGTGTGTGAGCTGAACACCTGCACAGCTGCAATTTAATTTCATGCTTTATTGTAGGAGATAAATACATTGCTTTGTCTGGTGCTAAGCCCCCAGATTCCCTGGTATATCACCTCATTCTTGTTCATCTTTGGGCCAGGTGGATACAATGGCAAAATTCCTTACTGTTTGTCTGGTGAGGCCTCTTCATCTGACCATTGAAGACGAGATGTAATATTGCTCAGCAGATGTAATTTACTGATGGGGATGGCCTTCATCAGAAGAAACCTGTTGTGAGAGTAAAAAAGATAATAGATCTCGATTTGAATTACCCTGATTTGTGAAAAAGATGGATGGTCTTCTGTACAGAATTTCAGTAATGATTTGGTTAGTTCCTATTTTGTCACACTTGTCTGCCCAGAACAAAATCTGATGGTGCGATGTCATGTTTTTCATATCTTTTCCAAAGTTTGCTGAATCATTATAGCAGACAGGATGTTTACAAAATCAACATGTTGCTTAAAAATTCATATTGCCTTCAAAATCTGCCAGTACTTGTGCTCTTTATTATGATACCAGCGTTGCCAGCTGTAGTGGTTAAAATTTCCCAGGAGGAAAGTGGAAACAAATTTGTTATTTTTATGTCACCATCACATTTTATTTAGTCAAAGCATGTAAGTAAGAATTTTACAGAATACAAAGCAACAGAGAATATGGCTTTTGGGTAATTCAGCGGTTAAAGCTATGATGTTCTAATGTTTGTGTGGGTTATATTCATAATGCAGGTTTTAGAACTTAATACAAATTCTTATGATGCTAACAAAGCTATTAAAAGATGCTGGAACTCTGAAATTTAGAACAAGGTCACTGGTAGCCTCTAGTGAGACCATCTTCCTAATACAAGGCTAATTATTTCTTGATGGAAAAGTCGGTGATAATAATCACTATGCTTTTATATGAAAAGAGAGCATGCAGAAGCTGAATTAATATTTAGCAGCTCAGAAATGTCACAGAAACAAAACCAGCTAATTTAGATATGTTTGTTGATTTCCTGTGCATTAGATAATATCAAATATTTTTACATGCTATTCCCTATTGAAACAGACTGATGTTATTGCTGTACATGTAGAAACTCAAGAGAAAGTGATTAATTTTTTTCTTGATATTAAGAAACGTATAGATTGGGGAAAACTGGGAGAAACAATCAAAGAGTAGATGATACTTCCTCAGACAATATTTCTTTTGACAAAGCAGCTGAGGTCTGTCAGTCTTTCTAAAATCTATGATGCAAAGGTATTTTTATTTTAAAACAAGAGTGGGAATGGGCTCCAATGCCTAGTGATTGCTAGCTCTGGAGTATTTTAATTTCTTTTGTCGTTCTGTCTAACCTCATATGACCACTGCTAAAATTCTCTCTTTCATCAAGCCTCTGCACCAAATAGTTATTACCTGCAGTAGACACATCCTTGCTAAGGGAAAAGAGCCCAGACATACAAATAAAATTTATGTAAGTTAGAAGATAGATGGTGTTCTTTTTTCTCCAGTATCCTCTAGGTTAGTCCTCAGATAAATCAGTCTGATAGCAGGTTTCTTATTTTTAAACCTTAGTCATAACTGTGATTTTTTAAAAAATATCAATAACTTTCAAACCTAAATGTATTGAATGAGGAGAATAGTTTATCTTGCACTGCAGCCTAACTTTTCATATTCTTTGCCAAACAATTCAAATGAAGATAATTAATTAACCACATACTTAGTATCCTTAGCCCACTATTTCACAATTTCAGTAAAAAACTGTATTTTATAGAGCTAAACATAACATAAGGATGCAAAATTTTGCACTGCCAAACATATTACAATATGTAGCTATTACCTGGTAATTTGAAGCAAAACTCCAGGAATGCATTTTTTAACTTCTTACTGTAAAAACTGGTCTTATTTCAAGCTAGCTGAGATTGTAACCACTCCTTTGTTGACTTGCAGTTTCAATTGCGTTACATTGCTTGCATTATGCTAAAGCATTTTGATCTATTATAAAAAAATATTTTTCTTTTAGGAGCCTCAGGGAAGTTATATCTGTGCTCATGAGGTTTCTCAAAAAGGAAAACATTTAAGTAAGCATTGACAGACTAAAGAAACAATTCTGACATTATACAGTGAAATATCCCAGTCAAGAAGTAAGATACATGCATGTTCCTGTTAACCATCAACTTCATTTTCTAAACTAATAAGCTGTTCCAGGAAGCATGTTAATTAGACAAGCTTCTAGAAATGCAGCAAAAGTATATTTTGGACTATATTGGGATTTTCCTACTTTAAATATATCAGTACTATTTCTTTTGGATCTTTGTACACAAGACAATAATTTTATACATTGTGTGACAGTGTACAGCTATCTGGACCTAACACCATGCTTTTAGTCTATCATCTGAAATGCACATATGTCTCATGATTTACTTATTAAATCATCGGCTGCATGCATTTAGCAGATGAATCTGCAAGTCATGGGGCTGTGCATCCTAATGGTTATTCAAAGCCAGTGTTACTCTGCAAAATTATTGTAAAACTTATATTTTTCCCTTTAAAATCTATGCAGAGCTACATTTTCTGATTTTAATGATAAAATATGGGCTTTTCCTTCAAGTCCATCAAAATTTAGTACAGTTTAGGTGTGATAGTTTATGGGTGTTAGGTGAGTGACATAGGTAGATTCTCTTCCTATCTGCACATCACTAAGGTTACCTATTATATTACTAAATTATGAAAATACTGCAGGAAACAGTGTTGACTTGATCTTCTACAAGCATATCTGTAAAACGATGGGATTATAAAATGGAAGCACTGGCGTGGTTTGTATTACAAAACCTTTGTTAATTTAATGGCATACGGGAAAAAGAACTGCGTATGCTTCTTGTATCCCAGAGCTGATTTGTAATATAACTATTTATAATACAATTTGAAATAAATTCATGTACAAGACCATGTTACAAAAATATGCCACCTCTTTCATCGCCTTCTAGAACCTCTGTTGTAAACATGAACCTTCACAAAAAGGTAAATAAAGTCACTCATCTGGCACCAACAATACTTCAACATGGTCTCAGCCACTTGGAAAACATGACCTTAGACCTGTGACAGAGCAAATTCCTTCATTCTAGGCAAAAGATAGGACTGTGAGCTCTGTTATAAACTCTGCTGTGTTTCAAGTGCCATAGTCTTACACCCCTCGAGACATTTTATAACAGTCATGTCTAACCTTTTTAAGGAAGGGTCTGATTGCCATGTGTATCTTCACTTGCATTGACCTAGCGAACATGTATGTGCCTGTGGCATGCCTACCGGTGTGTCTGTGCTGGAAAGGGGGTGGCCATGAGTAGGTGCAAGCTGCTGGAGCAAGTCACTACCTTAATAAGCTGCTTCCAGATGGCAGCACTCTTGGGAAGGAGGAAAGCAGAGAGTGAGTCAGTCACAGGCTTGTTGAAGTGGTCTGGGAGGTCACCTTCCCCTTGGAGGAGGTACTTGAAATGAAGAGTGGTAGGTGAAATAAAGTCAAGGGAAATCCTCCCTGAAATCACTACCCCAATCATTATTATTTAGTGTTAGAAATGCCTGTGGCAGCAATTTTGAAATTGTTGAACTTAAAAATTGTTGAACTTAAAGGTTTTCTAGTCCTTCTCCAGCAGAGGCCTGTGCAGCATTGTTGTGGGTCAGTAGTAAACAGGCACAGCTGAGGCAGGGGACCCAAGAGGAAAGTTCTCTCCTCTGAAGCTGCAGTGAATGGGAGGCTGCATTTCTGGGAGTGGAAACATGGGGCTGTGCCCCACGTGCGACTTGTGTCAGGTCTCCTTCAGTAGCCTTCACTCATGGGTAGCATGAGCACAACTGTATAAGAACGTTTCACTTCTTTATTAACTATAACAACTCCCCTCACCCTTTAGCTTCATCCACATCCCCTGTTGTCCAACAGCTAGCAGCCATGGCCTTACAGGTTCAGGAGCGCTGCTCCTCCCTGCCATGATGACTGTCCTGCTCACAGGAGCACCACACCAAGACCCTGAGGCAGCTGCCGTGCGAGCTCGCTCCCAACCCAGCAGCAATACAGTCGCACTGGTGTGGCATTCACCTCCCCTAGACAGTCCCACCGAGGTGAGTTCTTCATAATTATGTCTCCATAATTATTTCCTTCTCCAGTGAGGCAGGAGGGAGGCACGCGAAGCCCCACATGCCGTGGAGGAGGTGTGCATTACCTCCCACCATCGTATGCCTCACTCTTGGGTGACAGGGAGAGGGGTCAGGAAAAGGACCCAAAGGTGTGTTCCTTCAACACCTACTGCTTGACACTTGAGCCGTGTTTTTACGATGGTCAAGTGTCACAGGGGACTGAGCTGCAGGGTGAATCAAACGCTATATTTAGGAAGAACAACTGGAAGCTATGACAGGAATTCTCTTTTACACTTTGCTTCTCAACCGAGTTCCACTGCAGCCTGGAGCAGCTCTCGGTGCCGGCCAGGCTGAAAGCATCGGAGCTATTTCAGACACATTGAAAGGATCACAGTCAATATCTCAGCTGGTGGAAGAGGCTACCTCTTTCAGCATCGAAAGGAGGTGTATATACTCACTTGACGGTTTGGAACTTTTCTTATATAAGTAGATAAGTAGATAATCTTGAAGGGGTCAGTTAAAAACTCAAAAGACTTGTGAAAACTCTGTAATAGCCGGCTGCGAGGTGACTGCAGTAGTTCTGTTTTTCTTCCTGTTTTAATGTCTTGAGCGGTGTATTCAGAGCAGATTGTTATAGTTATTGCTTCATAGTCTATGGGGATCTTAAAAGATTTAAAACAGAAAGTCATTTAAATACCTGCTGACTCATAAGAAGCATAACTGCATTAGCTTGAATGCTAATTCGAGCATGTACAGAGGTACATGCTTATTGTTTTCTATATGTTTATTGGAGCTAGTGAAATGTTACATGGGAGATTTGATGTTAAGAATGGTGCTCTTTTATTGTAAGCTTAACAGGTAACAGTGGTGGAAACAACTGCATTATACGAAATATTACAGTGTTTGCCTACAGCACGTAGTAACAGTCTGGAAGCTGCGAAGTGGGGGCTTCTCTTCTATATTTGTGCTAGCTGGGTTTCACAGTGGTGTAGTTCCTGTCAAAGCCTTTTAATAAGATATTACACTGCAGTTCTGTGCCCAATACACCCTTTGTGCTTGGTGCAGGGCAGAAAGGGGCAGCTTTCAGCTGGGGTGCGTGTGTGTGTGTGTCCCTCCTCGTGTGTATCAGCTACTGTACATCTCTTGTACAGATTACAAAAGATGGCATTATGATATCAAATCGTCTTTAAAGCAAATTGAATCAGGCAGCTTATTATCTTTCTGCAGCCCTGTCAGAAATTATTTTTAGCCAATGGACAGTAGATAGGTCCTTTGTTTTTTAAAGGGTCTTTTCACAATCCGGCTTTATGTCGCTCTGCAAAAAGTAGCAGTTACTTTCACTGGGAAGTCAGGAGAGCACGGGAACTGGCAGGGGCAGCCTGGCATAAAACAGCTTTGAAATCCTGTTGCCATTGCTTCCTAAGTTTGGCTCGGCATGCAGACCATAAAAGGTAAGAGGTGAGGTGTGGGGTGGCCAAAAAAACACCGGGGCATAAAGGCTGCATGTCTCTGTGCTTCTCTGGGTATGCACGTGGGAGATTCGGCTGGGGAGGAGACTATTTGTTTAACTTTGCAGATCTGGTTGGGATGCCAGAAATAACGCAATCAGTGCAGCACGCTGGACTTTCTGATACACCTGGTGAAAGAATACAGAAATTTATAAAATTAAGTAATCTCTTCAGTAGTAGGTGCATCTACAGTCTGGGGTTTATTTTCCTAGAGCTGATGGTCAGTATTGTTCTGGAGGAAAGCTCAGGAAAGGGAAGGAAGGGGACAGAGCTGGGTAAGATTGTCTATTTTTACTCGGTGATGTGCTGTTGTCCTGATTTCTTCAGCAGTAATGAGGACAGCACAAACTGGTAAGGAAAATCACCTCCTCCAAAAGCAGTCCTACACAATTGTATCATACGTCCATCTTTAGGAACCGGTGTCTGATTGCAGTCATTGCAAGTGCAGACTTCTAGTGAATCCAGAGCACCTCACTGAGTAGCACGATTGCCTTACTTCTTTTGATAGTAGAGATCCCAAGTAAATCCCTGCCCATTTAGCTGAAGGTGGCCAAAGAAGCACAAAACAGTGTTTTTGCAATGCAAAATATATAGAACAGTACATCTTGGCCTGAATTTCATTGAGACTATGTTTAGAAAGTAGAAACACAGTGTTTTTAAATGCTGTATATTCATTTCCTATGCTTTTGTTTCCATTTTTCATTCTGATTAGAAAAAGGAAAAGATGATAAGAAAAAAAATTAATTAAACTTTTATGTATTATAAGCCCTATCTTTCCAATAAACTGGTGGATTATTTTGCATTTGTCTTTGGAGTACAACTGCTGATTAACAGCACAATGCATCAGTATAAGCTGTGTGGCAATCCTGAGGAAATGCTTATTTCCATTCATAGCAAAGATTTTGAAGGAGTGCAATTCTTTGGCTGAAATTTTGGCTTACTGAAATCTGTGCAAGTGTTGTCATGAACTCCAATGGCCAAGATTTCATCCCATAAACTGAATCCTGGGGTTGTTCTAACTGTCATAGACTACAAAATATTGCCACAATGTAAAATTATCTGGAACGGTGCTGTTTTCATTTTGCACAGTGGGATTTTTTTTTTTTTTAATTGATTTACTTATGTAGCTGAACCAATTTAACCCTGAAGCCTATGCCCTCTGATGTTGCCTCTGATGGGGTATGTTTTGGTTGGCCAGCGCTCTTAGAGCTGAGTGTGCAATCAGAGAGAGACCTCTAATGGCAAGTCACTTGCACTTTAAGTTCTGCTCTGAATTAGGTACAGATTTAAAGCTGATGTGAGAGTAGGCAAGAGCAAATCTTCCATGCAGCTCCAGGGATACAGTTTCAGACTGATATTCTGGGCTGAAGTCAACCTACAAGTGATCTATACTTTCCTCTGATACTGCTTCCACGGGACAGTTATGCTCTTTGGAATACCAAAGTCTCTGACCCACTTGTGACTTCTTGGTATATTTCTACTCTTCTTTTTTTACATCATTTATTCCTTTTCTCAGTATATTGTTTCCAGTCTCAGGTAAAATACTGTAGCCAAAAAATGTTATAATTTGGTTGTTATCAATGAATTCTCTGATGGATGTATACTTACTTACCACCTTTTAGTATTACTTTCTTATTTTGCATTAAAATAAGCTGGTTAAAATGATCAGACTTTGATAAAGGTCTAGTCCAGTTAAAGTTGTAAATCTTAGTGGAAGAGTAAAAGGCTGAGACGATATTGAAGTTAAAGGGATATTAAATTTCTTTCTTGCCTTTTTTTTTAACCTTTACAAAATCCTTTGACTTTGGTGTGTTTCTCTTTGTTATTGCATATTAATTTTGTAGCAGTCCATATCTCTACACATGCATAAAGTTATATGAAAAATTCTTCCTTTTTTGCATTAGTGCTAAGAAAAATAATAAATCTAAAACTTGGAAGAGAAATTACTTTGTGCCCTAGCAATTCTCAAAGAGAATTTATAGTATAACCATCTTGATCATTTTCAGTCTATATGTATTAAAGACTTACAATAATGTGTGAGTCAGAAAATGGTTATGTCTTCATTTATCAAAACTTTGTGGCGAGTTATGTTTTATTTGAAGGAAGGTTTAAACTTAGAGTTCTAATAATTCTGTTGTACATACCATGACAGAGATAATCATGCATTGTTTATCCTCAGATGCTTCCTTTAATTCTTGCTCATTTTACGATGCCATTAAAGGTTTGAGAGATTCCTTATCTCTACTCATTATTGCTTTTGATGTGAAAGAGAGAGCTCCATTTGTGTCTATGAAAGATTAATTGGAGAAGCTCAGGTGTTCTGCCAGAAGGAATACCTAAGCAACCCTGAAACTGAGACAGAAACAGGAGATGGGCAGGTGAAATGGACACCTGTCAAGAGGCAGCATGGGTTAAGTTCTAGTTTATCTCTCCTAGCTATCAGAATGTCAGAGCCTGTAACACTTTCCCATTTTGCTTGCAGGGATAAGACTCTGTCTTAAAAATGTCAAAGCAGCCAGCGTCACATGTCAAAGCCATTCAGGTAAGAGACAGTATTTATGTTTCTAATACAATAAAATAATAAATCTCAACCTTCATTGTTTGACAAACTGCATTTTGATCATACAAAACACTGCAGAAGTCCTAACTGGGGATTATTCTTTCAAAGTGAAAAGCTTGGTAGTTATGAAGGCACTGAAAAATGTTGACCTGAGGAGCATCTTATGATCTAAGCTGAGAAAAAAGGCAGATCAGACAGGCTGTTTGCTTACTTGCTTGCTTCTGTGTTCTTTCCAATGTTAGCTTATGTCTGTTGGTGTATCAGCTAAGTAAAACATGGTGATACTTTTGCAAAACCAATCAGCATTATGAGTAAAACTAATTCTTGCAACTATTGGATTTTCCACAGAATTTATGTGATTTTGGAATAACTGAAGGCTAAAAAGATGGTATAGCTAATTAAAGTTTTTCATTTCTGCATTTCATCAGTGAAAAAAAAAATCCTCCAATATTTATTTAAAAACATTTTAGAGCCAAAATGAAATGGGAGAAAAGTTGATGTTTTCATTAGAAAAAATCTTGTGTGTCACATACCTCCTCAAATGGCATATGCTCATAAGGTGAAGTTCATTGTTACATGCTTATAAAAGAAACACCTTTAGAATTATCCCAGCATCATCATAAAGTAGCTAAACTGCATCGAAGTCATGCTATCATTGATTCTTTTCTAAAAGACATATAATTAGCGAGCTGCAGAATTGTGCAGAATTTTCATGTATTCTGTAAAATGCACTTGCAGTCAACTTTTCCCATGAGTTCAGGTTCCTTTGAAAATATGTAAGAAACACAAAACAGAATTTCTGACCTATGCTCTGTTTCCCCAAGGTAATAATGGACTGGGGCATCAAGACTAATTACCCAGTGGCTAGACAGCATTCTGAAGTGGCAAGGCAACATAAAAATGCTAATTCTGACCATCATCATCATCAAGAGTACTGGAAGAGACATTCAAGCTACCATACTAATTCAGTTGAAATTAGCAGAAGCCATTGATTTCACTCAGTTGAAATTGTTGTGCCTCATATAGAGACTATGGAAATGTTTGCGTAACTAATGAAAAATTTTAGATAATTTTTAGCTCAAAAGTGTTTACATTTTCCATTTAAACTCCATAGGTATGTACAACTGTTTTTAAGGAATGAATTCGGTTTACTCTTTTCCTTTAAGTAGCAACTCCTTTTTAGTTTTCTGATGACCTTCCAACTTTTAAATGTAAATAAATTCTTCTAGTTTGTCTCTTAAGAAAGGACATTAAGTTTAAGCACTAAGTTTAATATTTTAAGAAACTTCAGTTTTTGCAAAGATAATTTGAATCCCAAGGAAAACTACTGCACGAACTTAAATAAATCTATCAAACATTGTGTCAAAGGTTGCTCCAGCAGGGAGATTTGCCCTGGAGTTGATACCTATCTCTCTTGGAGCACTTTGAGAACTGTAACTCAAAATGTCACATTACTTTTTTGTATTGTGATTCATATATTAGGATCCTTTGCTATTAGGTGCTAGTATAGTAGGACCAACATCTCCTGGAGAATAAACATAGTGCTACAGTGATGGAAATGTAATGCCACCTTACTGACTGAAGTATCCGATGTTGCTCCGTGTTAGAATTGGCTTCTTTCTGACTGTACTGGACATACACTAAAGGTTTCACATGCCCACAGCCACTAAATACAGACGTGAGAGCTAAGGGTGGCAGCTAGTTCCCAAGGGTAGTTTGGGGTAACAGAAGATCAGAGTCCCTAAGCTCATGCTTGGCTACCAGTAGTATAAGATCCAGAAGTTCCTAATCTGGATGCCTTTTCTCTATAAAATAAAAAGAGAGACAAACCAACAAATCTCTAAGTATCAGTTTAATCAAGACAAATTATAAATTTATATTGTATTTCATGCTTACAGATATTTTTCCTTAAGTTCATTCAGAAAGATCTTAGCAGAGTAGATGAGTACACATTTCCACTCATGAAAACTACAGTGACATCCAAAATATGGTAGGCACTTCCCAGAAACAAAGAAAGATGCAAGCCCAATAAAAATCAGTGTGATTAAAAATAATAACCATGTCTACAAAGTCTGTCTACAGTGATTATAATTTACAGTTTCAGGAGTGTGGAACAAAAAATGTGCTATTACCAGATGGGGAAGTGGGCAAGGAAGAGGTCACTAAGACTTGTATCTCCATCCCAGCAGCCACATGGCAAGAGCCCTGAAGAGGATTTAAAAAACACAAGAGCACACTTGTGCTGATCACAGCACAACACAGTCCTTGCAGAGCCGCACTGGCATACAGGACTTAGTCTATCACTCACCCATAACACAGCTGCTTATCCACAGGAATGGACTGGCCTTGGATTAAGAGGGAGATTTATGGCTCAGGATTCTGGTATCTCTGGTCAGGAACTGCTAGGAAATTAGGCACACTTTAATTTTGTACTAGAAATATATATTTTAATTTATTGTGTGTTATAGTATGGGGTGTTACCAGATCCAGACAGTGTTAAACTATGTTTTAAAGGCTACTTGTTTTACCAAGTTAATATTTCATGTCTTGTCCAAACTCAGAAGTGAACGCACTTTGCAGATAAAATAGTTCAAACCACTGTAGTGTGACACAGAGCACTCTGAAAATGCTGAAGCAGAGCAAAGAATGGCTTATTTAATTTAATTAGCAGTCTGGCACTTCGTTCATTTTTATTCCTGAACCATTTTTAGTCACAGTAGGAAATGCAAGGACCAGAATTAGGGTTTTGTGGTCAGCCTCAGGTAACAGTGGGAGGCTGACTTCTGCTTTATTGACTCCAAGGGGAATGGATGCCTGAGTTCAAAACAAGCACCAGGAGGAACGATCTGTCTTGGGAATAGTTCTGATATTTCAGCTCTGCAAACCTGTATGGCCACGTTCTCTGTAAAGCACTAAACTGTTTCCTATTCCAAAAAAAGCAGCTGACTGGAGATACCAGTGCCTAGCTGGGGAGATGCTTAAAATTAAAAAGAGCAGAGCAGGTTTTTTTTCCACTCATAAATGAAATAATGGGTTAAGTACTGTGAGGCTGAAAATGCCTTGTCTCCTGGGAACTTAATAAGTGCAGCTGAAAGGTTTTGCAATATATAAACTAAAGCTCAGTGAAAAAGCATATGAAATGAATGCCCAGTTGTCTATAAAATACACAGCTCTACAGACATCTGCCAGCCCCACTGAAGGGGTAACATCACCATGCATAAATAAAAGTGAAAAAAAAATTAAAAAAAAATCGAAAGGTGTTTATTTTTTGGCAAATGGATTGTTAATTTGTTTGATGCTGGATTGCTGCTGCCAGAACATTTGTTGGTACTACGAAGAGTGGGCTGTGTTCCTGTGGCTACCCAACCTGGGGCATGATCTGCAGGGCCAGGATTTGAGCAGAAGGAGGGGATTGTTCATCTTCATTTTGTGCAAATCAGTCAGATGGTAAATGACAATAAAGCAGGTTGCTGTTTGAAGGTTCTCTGTTTACTCTCAGCAGTATTACCGATTCACCCGCTGGTTTTACAAGTGGGAGTCATGATATTTTGATGACATTTCCTATGAGCAGCTTCTCTTCTGAGATCACGAGATAAGAATAGGTATAATTTGTGCATTTAGTTGATCACACCATTTGACTTTTAAAATAAGCCAGGCTGGGTCACATGAGGAAACAGATACAATTTAGCTGTTCTTCCATAGGCAATGTTTTCTGCTCTCACCATGGGAGTATTGTGATGATGCCATAAGTGCTCAGAAACCACAATAATGTCTGTACCCTCGTTGCACCCCTTTGGAGTTTTGCCACTGACCATTGTGCATCTCTCTATCAGTTGCTGTTATATGCATCCTCATTTCCTTTTCACAGGCTAATATTAACATCCCAATGGGAGCATTTCGACCTGGTGCAGGCCACCCTCATAAAAGAAAAGAACTAACACCTGAAGAAGTGGACGAGGTAAGAAAAGGGGGGGTTTGATTTTTATTTTTAAAGGAATCCCTACCATTGATGTAAGAAAGCCTTTAAATCAACCTTAGAGCACTACCTACCGATCTTAGGTACCACAGCTGACATACAGTGATCATTTATGGGAGTAAGTGGCCATTTATCAATGACTTCTTATATATACCATTCTGGTTTTGATGCTGAGGCCTCTATAGGAACTGTTTCAAGGGTATGTAGTTCTACCTAAGCAATAGGATGATATCTGCTCTCAGGATTTCATGAACAGTATTTATCTAGACTGGAATTGGTGAAATACAGCAGGAAAAGCTATAGGAAGGCTTTGGAAGGGTCTATTACTACCTGCTGCCCTGTGGTGTAATTTATTGTTTCAGCTTGTCAATATTGGACAGGTTTTCAAACCCAACATTTGGAGACCTTTTGAGATTATTTATCAAGAAGTAGAGATTGAGTATGAAGACTATACATTTGCAAATTAAAACCAGAAATTGTGAACCTGCAGAAGGGTGAAAATACTTCCTGAGAGATTAAATTATGTGCTCCGATGCCAGTAGTTTATAGGGAGTATTTAACATTGAGTTTTGAATGTGGAGTTAAATTTATGCTTTAGTCAACATTGATCACAGATATCATGTTTCTGGATGATATTAAAGCATCTTATCTACTAAGAACTTCCATAACAAATAAGAACTAAAACCAACAGTGAAGAAACAGGAATAGTGCAAATAAGAAAAAGACATAAGATGATGCTTATGGCTTCTTAGACAGGTGGCTTAGTCTGGCTGCATAATCCCCATTTCAAAACTGGTCTTGCTGGGCCAGATCTGCTGATGCTCCTTGGAGCCAAGGGCAGGAGAAGCTCAGATCGACCCATTCAACCAGGCTGGCTCTGGCTCTTCTGGAGGACTCTTCTGGGCGGAATCTGAGCCATGCTCTGGGTGAAGCAGGGCTGCTGTGGTTAGAGGGAGCCTTGAGCAGAGCCCCGAGGGCCAGAAAGGAGGGAACTAGCCACTTCACTCCAGGCACACAGTGACAGTGCTGGTGGTGCAACCCTAAACTAGAAACAGTCAGGTTTGCTTTGGACAAATCATCAGCTTCTTCCAACCTGGTACAGGCACTTACCAGTGACGGTTTTTGGCTGCATAATAGCTAATTCTTCCTTTTCAATCTAAATCAGACAGGTTTGTTTTCTGAATTTCAACATATTTGATATAAATAGTGCTCTGCTTACAGAGAATTACTCTGAAGAAAACAAACTCAGCCCAATTTAACTCCTTTTGAAGAAGATTTAAAAGAAAACAAAACAAAACAGAACGTGACCTTAAACACATACTGTTCCCCTGAAAGAAATCAAGCCACATTCTCTCTGCAGTAATTAAACTGGTGAAGGAATGCATGTTATTAAGCAGAAATTAATGTTTGAGTGAATTCTGGTGGTATTTGAGAAATAAAATAAATTACAAGTGCTGATAATTAGATTTGGTTGGGTAATTGAATATTGCTTTGTTTTACAATTATGTGAACGCTATCCATGAGACAGATATTATGGAATAAAAGTTCTTGGTCCCAGTTATATAGCCAATATTCAGCCAAACCAGTGGGAGCAGAGACTACAGAGACAGATCTTCTCATATTAATAGAATAAAAATGCTACCGCCTTGTTAAGCTTTGAGATAAAGCTTGTGAGTCCTTAAAGCAGCCTTAGACTAATACACCTTTTGCTAACAGTCCTTAGCATTCTTCTCCATATTTTAAAACCCTGGCAAAAGAGATGAGGGATATATGGCTCTTACTCAATGGGTTGGTGTGGTCAGAGGGGACTGCATATTTCTGAAGGTCAAAGGAGAGGACATGTTAACATGCAAAAGAAATGGGAGGTAGGAATTTGAGAATATAACTTTTCTTCAGTCAGAGCATTTCCATGCATGTATTTGTTAACTCTTGTCATACATCTAAATCAATCTGCAGACTTCCTTCAATAAAACTGAAGGCCGAGGTCTGATCTCAGCAGTTCCTTGTGCACAGAGTGAGTGATCTAGGGAGAGATGCAGTCATAAATAGCACACACCTGAGATTGGGATAGAAAACGAACATGGATTTATGGAGTGCAAAATCTCCAAAACATCATCAAAGTTTGCACTGTTTGTTCTATGAGAAGGAATGCTACAGCAAAGGACTTGAAAAAGTCTTTTTAACATGGTGTCTGCTATGTACTAGTAAGAACTGTGTTCTTTTTAGGATGGTTTAGGATTGTTTTGTTTTGTTTTTAGCAAGCTGTGCAGGAAAACTGTAAATGGAAACAAAACAAGCTCATGACACCTCTGACTACTGATACAATTTTGTGCATCCGTCTAAACACCTTTTGTGTCAGTCTAATTATTCTCGTGTTGTGCTTTGCTACCATTCCCAGATGTCAGATCATTAAGCTAGATAACAGTATGTGTGGTGGCTGGGGCAGGACTCCTGACTGGGATCTTAAATTATCAAAACAGAAACAATAGTACAATGGTGTTAATTAATAGTAGCTTTTATTAACTAACATCATATTAGCTAAAAAGTGGGAAAAGATAATACAAACTTAATAAGCCAAGCAGCATAACTGTTGCTGCAGTTTTCTTTTATATGTTATCTATAGAAAGTTCTGAAAGATCAAATAAAAAGAAACAGTCGGTTTTCTAAAATTCTTTGTTTATTTGCTACTTGACATTGTAAAAGTCTGCTTCCTTATTACTATGTAGTCCTTTAGTCAATAGCAAAAAGGGTTTTTACTGACCAATAATAATTGACAGATAACTTGGAAATTTTAAAAATGAAGTTAAATATTACGAACAGACTGATCACAGGCTAATAAATCTAAATACTAAATTAACTCCAAACTTCAAAAAGCCTATCCCAAGAGGACATTCACAGAGTAAATAAAATAAAATAAAATAAAATAATTGTGAAATTACTGGCAGTTAAATATTCATTCACCTCTAATTCTACATGACTCCCCCTGTATGTTAGCTGTACAAAATACAGAATAGATTGGCTAGACCTTAAACTCCCTACTAGAAAACTACTCCTTCAAAACATTGCTCAGTGTAGGACAGAAATAGTCTAAAATATATGCTCTACCTCACCTAGGAGCAATAGTACATCAGAGGAAGTACCAAGGGGTGAAAAACTGTGGTCCATCAGGAAATTAGCTGAGATGCTTGCTGTTGTGTTAAGTGCTGTTATTTTTACAGTGTCAGCAAAATAGCCATTAGGGACTACCTTAATTGAAATATAGTGACAATTTTTTTTCTGTTTTTACCAATGAGGTTAAGAAAAATTAAACATAAACTCAAGCTGAGCTTGGATGGAGCTTCTGGGGTCCATAACCTACTGTAGCTGTTCTCCAGAGCTGGGGAAATGCGTGATGTTTTTCCTCCCCATTTGGCTAGCACCTATGAGGCTGTAAGAAATTGGATAATAAAAATGGTTCTTCAGCTTTTTTTTTTTTTTTTCTCTAAAAAATGAAAGATCTGGCAGCTGTCTTTAATACATCACTCAGTTAATTTTATGCTAACAATCTGACACTGTAAATTCTTACCCATTTACGAAAAGATCCATATTCCTCTACACCGAGCACCTTCTAAATATTTTTGTAAAGTGTTTAGATATTCAAGACAACAACCAACAGAATTATCCATCTCTTCCTGCCCCCCTCCCCTCAGAGGTTTCCATTGTGATTGAATTTAGTATAAAAACATCCTTTTCTGTTTCTCAAATAACTGACCTATGCTCATGCTCAAGAGCTTTCTATTGCAGCAGCAAGGTCACTGATATCCTTTCGTGCAGAGTGTTCCTGCTACAGAGGAGGAGAAAGAAAAGAAACATCTCCCAGGAGCTAAGAAACTTCCAGGTCCTGCTGTCAACTTATCAGAGATTCAGAACATAAAGAGTGAGCTGAAATTTGTCCCCAGAGCTGAACAGTAGTTGGAACAAGCAGGTGAGTAAGAGAGGTTCTTTGCATCGCTCTAGGAAAAGCAGGCTGGTCCAGAAACATTTTTATGTCAAAAGATGTCTTTTCAAAAATTAAAAAGGACCTGGAATCACATTCCATCTTTCAAAGATAAAATATAATGTGTAGAAGAGATCTCACAATCCTTGTAATTCTGCTTTATTTCAAAAAAGGAGCATGCAGGCGACTGTATCTGATGATACATGGCACCCATTAACCTACCTAACAAAAAGTGTATTTGGCTATTATATTGAAGCCAGCTAACAAATACCATCTTACCATCTTCTTGCTTCACAAGCACAAGTTCCAGTTCTACTGAATACAGAACTTGTATTTCAGTACACTAACTACAGATAAATATATTACAATGCAAATAATTTTATTCCAGTGAGGGACAAGTAGGTCAGTATTTTTAAAAAGTTGCTTTAGAACACTAGAGATTGGATATTATTTTATTTCTGTAATTCAAAGCTAAAACAGTAATGACTCTATGCATTTGATCACACAAATGCACCCAGTACTACTTGTGGCACCCAAGGACGTGCAACATATCTTTGAAGATCACCTCTCTCAACCTGCTAGCTACACTTTTGACGCAACCCAAGATAAAGCTGGCTTTCTGGACTCCAAGCATACCTTGTTCATGTTGAGCTTTTTGTCCACCAAGCCCAACTCCACAGAGCTTCTCTCTATCCATTTGTCATCCAGCCTGTAATCATGTTTGGGATTGCCCTGACCCAAGCGCAGGGCCTTGCATGTTAACACCAATTTTAGAATTATTTTAATCTGATTTCAGTCAAGGCCAATAAACCTCTGTTGTTTGACATTCTGAGCCATAAAATAATTAATAATATTTTCCATCCATGAAATTATCATTTTATTTTCTTTGAAAAGCCTGAGTCAGTAAAGATGCAGTTATAATGAAAGTTCAGCTGTATAGAGAAGTTTCAATACAAAACAAAACAAACAAAAAAAGAAACACAAACAACTACAGTAAGAAAAAGATATTTGTGTCACAGAGTAGTCATCTGAATTGCCAGTTGTGCCTGACACAAGTCCTTTTTATCATGAAGAGAGACAGAGGAGCTAAGCTGAGTAAAAGAACATCGTCTGGAATTTACTGCACAGAAACATTAAAGAAGAGAAAATAAAAAGCAGTGCAAAAGGATTCTGTGAACACAGAAGTGCTGCGGTCCAGGAATCTTGAAAGAAATGGCATATAATCTGAGTGAATTGTCCCAATACACACTGTACGTTAATTTATTTTTTATGTGCAGCATAAATATGCCATTTAGAAGGAAAATATATTTTTTTTCTTATTTTTAACCAGCTCTGCCATAATGTGCATGTTATTTTTGAAGCACAACAGAATCTTTCTCTTCAGGAAACTTGGGAAAAGGAAAATTAACATTTTGTAAAATCTAACATTGTAGTCATTGCACTAAAGCAGTGCCCAGAGAAATATGAGTTTTTAATGTGAGGCTTTAAAGATTTTTTTAAATTTATTTTTTCTTTTTGTGTAGGAGATATTTAGATAGAAATTTTACCCCATAGTTAGTCTCAGGTGATTGCTATTTTCAATGTTTAAAATTATTATTTTATAATTAGCTTACTGAGAGTCTGACAAAAACATTTAGGGCACATGCAGAGATTCACTGTAAAGAAAAGATTTCTACAGGAAGATCAGCAAAGTGAAAGTGAAAGCTATGAGGTCATTATGAAGTCATTTCTGTCTCTGTCCTTCTTGTGATGTTGTATTTGATTATCAGGTCCCAACGCTGACACAGATGGGATGGCTGATCACATCATTCATGGAAAGGGCAGAAAGGAGCAAAGGGTGAGGGGACTCTGAAATACAGGAGGGTGGCAAGAGGGAATGGTTGTGTGAAATAACATTGTCCAGCTGGGAACAGGAGGTGGTCAGAGGTTACACACATTCAGCCATTAAGAGTAAGTGCGTGTGATTGATTGGAGGTGTCTCCCCCAGGAGATAAACAGTGGAGTGTTTCTGATTCCAAATATTCCTGCAATGATGCTAAACATGATCACCATTTACCTATTTATCTGGCTAATGTGAGAAATACTGCTTTCTAGATTTTGGGTAGTACAGTCACAGATCACATCTGAAAACTTAATTTCTAGAAGATTTTCAGACACGGTACTCACTAGAGACTAGGAGTTCAGCTTTAGTTGCAGTGCAGGACTAAGCATATGCATGAATTCTACATAAAATCGAAATGTAAATCAATCACTTGCCATATCCAGCAGCCTGGAAAGGTACTAAATCTAAGGACTGTCTCCCATAGAGGATGTTCATCAGTTCTGTTGTTTTAGACATGGCCTGCAGCCTTATATAAAATGTGGTGTAGTCAGTGAGTTGTTTTATGACTGTCCATTCCAAGCCAGTGAAGATAATCTTTTTTTGCAACAAATCCATACTCACATCTGCCTGATATGTCACTTCATGTCCAGGAAGGGGTTACTGACCATCCTCTAAATGTGATACTCTCTAAAGAATGCTACATTGACTGGTCAATAGAATATGTCTGTGCTGAGTGCATACTGATAAATGAGTACATTCTTTGGAGTTCATTGTTTGGAAATGAATTATCTCTCACATCAGTACAATAAACTCTTCAGCTATTCACAGTCGAGGGATTTCCCTTTGTTGGTATTTTTTATGTTTCTCATGGTATGCTGTAGGTACCCACTGAAACTGATGGAATAACTCCAAATTCTCTAGATAATTTCCATTATGCTGTGATTCTATAATAAAATATCATAAAAGTATCAAAAATATAAAATGTCAAAAATATCAAAGGCTTTATAACTACAGCAATTATTTTTAACACTTCCTTTTAGTATTATCATTTGCCAATGGATAGTTTCAGTAAATTGCAAGTCATCATGGCCAATTTTGTTTAAATGTTGATCCATGTTTTCCTGCTTGGTTTTAGAGTGCAAGCCCATCAGCAAAAATAAAAAATGAATAACAGTATGTTGGTCCATTATTTACAAATCTACTCCTGCATAAGTTGTAGTTTAGAGTAAAGAGTAACTTCTGTTAAATATTTTTGGTTTTTCTCTTTCACCAAATTAGGGAATATCGAGAGACTTATTAAGATCATAGTTGTGAGTCTAACAGTTTGTGGGAGGGATATAATTAGTAAAATGTCGTAAAGCTGGATCCAGTGAAGGTCATAAAGTGCTTATCAGTTAAGATATTCCTGTAGTCATCCCTTACTGCTGGTCTATCATCTATAATTAACTCATTAGCATATTCTGCTTTGTTGTAATGATTTTTTTTTCTTCCACGGAGCTGTAGACGATGAGTTTGATAGAGTCAGTTTTAGTATACAAATGAGTTGTGATTCATTTTCATTTTCTATATCTACATTTTTTTTCTGCTCCCTTTGTACATGCACATTTCTACATGCATAAGAATGAAACGTACACAAAATAAAATAGCAACACAATATCACACACTAATCAGCTAAGTATATGTCCTCTTGAGAAGCCATTGTAGGAAGCATTTAATTTGACAAAAGGAGCCTGCTATGGCTGTGATTTGTTACCAATTGTTGCGATACCTTATGTGTATCATCACTAGCATGGTGATTGCACAAGAAAATAATGATTGAGCAAAAATTGTCATTTCTCCTAAGTACAGTTTATATTAATTGCATCCACTTAGTACCGGAACTCATAGAATATTTGGATTCTTTCAATATCCTTTACTCTGGCATTGTCTTCTGGACATGTTTGGAGAAAGCTCTCATTTCAATCCCAATTACAAACGTACTCAGAATTTGGTCAGACAAGGCTGTTAAGCTATGCTTGGGCTGTTGCCCACTAACAGGGTGCATGTCCTGTTCACGGTATGAGAAACAGACAGTACTTACAGGTAAGCCCTGGTCTTTACCTGGAATTCTCCTGAGCAGAACTGCTCAACAAATGTTAGTTCTGTTGTCAGCATGGGAGTTGTGTTTTGAGGGCATCAGAACAAACAGCTCCCCAGGTCAGCTTAGACTTGCAGCATTACCTCCTTTACAGCATATTGGGAATCCTGTCTCACAAAAAAAGAGGAGTCTTGTCAGCAGAGCAACCTCTGAAATTGGCATCACTTGGAGAAAAAAGAGAGAGGAAGGGAAAACAACAGAAGTCCCTTAGAGGATAGAGCTCTTATATCCATACTAAAAGATGTTCTTTGGTGTCACTATTAATTACGTGCAAAAAACGTCAATTACCCTGGTCTAAAAATACACATTATAATTTTGCCCACTGAGTACTGTGGATGTTAATAACAGTTTCATGCTATGTACTGCTTTTAAACTGCATCTCACTTGAATGGTAGCCATCTACCTCTCCTTATGTCACTGTTTTGATACACTTTTCAATGATTGCGTCTCATTCCTGTGCTCAGGTAGACCAGAAGATCATGGCTAAGCTGCTGTACAGTAACAAGCAAAGTTACGGATGTTTTCTCCAGTAAACATATCCAGTGTCTCACTAGTAGAGGACCTCTGACATACTGTAAGCTCTTGGAACAACCCCACGATTTTAAGAAATTGTGTTCATGTGATTAAGCCCAATTAGCCAAAGCTTGTGTGAGAAATGTAAATTCATCCAGAGGGTGTTGGGAAGTTCCAATCAGAAGGAGTTCAGATCTCCTTCCTTACCACAAGTGGGAACAACAGGGTGAAGAGAAAGAATCTGTTTGCAAGAAAATGTGCCAGCCTCTCTGTCAAAGTCAGAGAAGGCTTGGAGGGGGATCTCATCACTGTCCGTGAATACCGGAAGGGAGGGTGCAAAGAGGTCAGAGCCAGGCTCTTCAGTGGTGGAATTTCCAGATTAGGAGTGCTTGGGGATTTCATGGCCAGTCATCAATTTTGCCAGGCAACTTTCCATTTATAAAATTTTCTTAAGAAACTAAGTTTCCAAGTTTTTATTTTATTTTATTTTATTTTATTTTATTTTATTTTATTTTA